CCCCCCCCCCCAAAGGAGAGTGCATGTGTGCACACAAACAGGGGAGGGGGCAAGGGAGATTGGGAATCTTAGAATGGCTCCATGCCCAGCTCAGTCTCACAACTGTGAGATTATGACGTGAGCTGAAATCAAGACTCAGACACTTAACTGACTGAGCCACACAGGTGCCCTATTTTTTTCCTTTCTAATCTGGATTCCTTTTACTTTTTTGTTTGTTTGTTTGTTTGCCTAATTGCATTGGCTAGAACCTCTAGGATAATGTTGAGTGAAAGTGGTGAGAACAAATATCCTGTCTTATTCCTGATCTTAGGGGGAAAATGTCTGGTCTCTTACCATTAAGTATGATATTAACTCAATAGATGCCCTTTATCAAATTGAGGAAGTTTCCTTTTGTTCCTAGTCTGCAGAGTATTTTTTTCATGGAAGTGTTGATTTTTTCAGACGTTTTCTCCATCTATTGAGATGATCATGTGGCTTTTGTTGTATTGATGTGATGTATTACATTAATTGATTTTCGGATATTAAATTAACCTTGCATTCCTGGGATAAATCGCACTTGGTCATGGTGTATAATTATTTATACATACTATGAGGTTCAGTTTACTAATGTTTTGTTGAATATTTTTATTTTCATATTTATATAAGCATATTCATTTTAGTTTTCATGTGGTTTCTTTGTCTGGCTTTATATAATGAATTGAGAAATGCTCCTCAATTTTTGAAAGAGTTTGTAAAGATTTGTAGTTAAATCTTTCCATGTTTGATATAATTCACCATTGAAGCCATATGGGCCTGGGCTTTTTATTTGTGGGTAGGTTTTTTGATTCTTGATCAGACTCTTTACCGGCTATATGTGTATTTGCATTGTCTATTTCTTCTTTAAGTCTATTTTAGTATTTTGGGTTTTGGGGAATTATTCTGTTTCATGTAGGTTAATCTAATTTATTGGTGTATAGTTGTTCATAGTATTCCTTTTAATTTTTATTTATGTCAGGTTGATAGTAATGTCACCTTCTTAATTTCGGATTCTAGTAATTTCTTTTTTTTTTTTTTTTGTTTTTGTCAGTGTAACTAGACTTTTGTTGATTTTGTTCACCTTTTCAGTGAACGAGCTTTTGGCTTTATTGACTTAACTTGTGTTTCTATTTAATTATAATGTTTTCATACTAATAGAGATGTATTTCCTAAAATTAGTTTTTCACAATAGAACTTAATATATATCACATATTTTGCAATGTTACCTGAGCATTTTATTTGTCCGATCAGATTCTCAGATGCTTAACACTGGAAATGATTTGAAAAACAAAGTCAAAAGTGACTCAGTCCTGCTTACCAGTGAAGAGTATGATGTGAAGGAACAGCACAGCATCACTCAAGCCACTCAGACAAGTCCAGAGGTTCCTTGGCCTTCTCAGTTGGTTAACTTTCCTGGGTGCTCCTTTGATTTTACTAGGGAACAGGTAATTGGAAAACTAATTTATTCTCATTCAATTTGGGCAATTGAAACAAATACTAGATACTAAAAAGTCAAAACATTATTCATTTATTCATTTAAATAATGTTTATTGAGTGCTTATTATGTGCCCAGGCACTGTGTTAGATGCCATGGATATAGTGTTGAGCAAGATTGGAACATTCCCAGCCTTCACAAAGGTTGTAGTCTAATGAGAAGGTAGAGGAGTAAATGTGGGAGAGTACCAGTTCCTGGAATCTAGAAAAGAATCCTGGAGGATAGGTTCTTTTTGATGTCTTCATTTTAAGTTTGTGAAAGTATTATAATATTTCAGAACATTGGAAAAATATTTTTAAACAACTTTAATGCATTCTAACTGTCTGCAGTGCTATCAATATATATTTTAAAAATTTTCCTCTCAGACTCTTTTCCATAATTTTTCAAAATAATTATTTTTCTAATGTATATACTATATATATTTTTTACTTAACATGGTTTAACAAATATTTTTCCATATTGCTACATATGCTTCATATTTATTTTAATGGCAGAGTAATATGGATGTGAATGTACTATCACTTTTTTTTAAGTTTATTTATTTATTTGAGAGAGACAGAAAAAGTGCAAGCAGGGGAGGGGCAGAGAGAGAGGGAGAATCTCAAGCAGGCTCTGTGCACAGAGCCTGACATGGGCTGGCTCGAACTCATGAAACTGTGAGATCATGACCTGAGCCAAAGTCAGGAGTTGGATGCTCAACCAACTGAGCCACCCAGGTACCCCGTGCTATCACTTCTAATTCTTCCTCTTAATATTTGTTAACATTTGAGTTGCTTCTTATTTTTGTTATTATAAATAAAATATCCAGCAGAATTTTAATTCTCTATGCTAGAACCAAAGAATGAGTTCACTTATCTGTTCACCAGAATTTTTTGGATGTCACCTTTGAGCTAGCAATAGAAAATTGAACAATATATCATCCCCATCAAGAAACTTGAAGTCTAGTGGGAAAGATAGAAGTGTGTAATTGATGGTCATAACATACTGCAATGCAAGTGCAATGCTGGAGATTGGAGAAGTATAGGGAATACCCAACTTGGTTTAAGGCAGGAATTCTTAAGCTGGACCCAAAGAAGTCTTGAGAACTTTTTGAAATTAAACATGTATATATTAATGTATCTGTGTAAATGTGTTTTGGAGGAGAGAAAGGTCTTACTGAGTTTTATCATTAAATCTTCATAGTTAGGGGTTAGGGAATAGTTCGAAGAGGAAAAAGTACTTCAACTGAGTCTTAATGTGGGAGGGGAGACCTATTGGCCATCTGGATGAAATGTTTAATGAGATATTCAGAATATGGGCCTGTGGCTCAAGACAAAGTTTCGTGCTAGATCAAGTTATGTGATAGACCCATAGGAATAGATGAGATCATCTAAGAGAGTGAGTGACTCAAGTTATAAGATGACCAATTACAGAATCTAACAGAGTAGTAACATTTAAGGGTTCTTAAACAGCAGAGGAAAGGAAGAAAAGCCTGTGGGTGAGCAGAGATAAACATGAAAGAACTGAGGCATAAAAGGTAAAAGAGAGAGGCTTAGGAAGGAAGAGCAAGGTCAGCAGTGTGTAAAACCACAGAGAGGTTGAGGGGATTTGAAATTAAACAAAATCACTATTAGATTTATAAAGTGCTTCATCTTAAGTCCACTCTCACCAGCACTGGGTGTTTTTACTATCCCAAGTGTCACACCTTTAGATACTGTGTAAATAGTCTGTATATTCTGAAAATGATTAAATTCTCTTACTTCCCAAATTTATCATTTCAGCTCATGGAAGAGAATGAATTTCTTAAACAGGAATTGGCCAAAGCTAAAATGGCTCTTGCAGAGGCTCACTTGGAAAAAGATGCTCTTCTTCATCATATAAAGAAGATGACAGTTGAATAACAGGAATGGCAATCAAAAATTAAAATTAATAGCTGTGGAGTAGGGAGGTTGTATTTATAATGTTATGTTACCAATAGCAGAAGACTTTCCTTTTCATGAAATGACAATAAAATGAAGTAGAATGTGATGAAGTGGTGACTGTTCCAAAGCCAGTTTAGAAAGTATTAGGTACGGGCATTACAATCTTTTGGTTGTTTTGTGTTTTGGGGTTTAACCCTCTTTTAAACTGGTATGATAGGGGGAAGTCAGCACATACTGTAAAATAATTACATGCCTAATGGAAAGAAGGTGTCATTTCCTAATTTTGATATCACATTATAGGCACTTTTTAAAAAGAAAATTGGAAAGCTATTGTGTTCCCACAGATTGCTGGTTTTATTTATCACTATTTGTTAATAATTTATTTACAAAGATTCAAATGCTTTTAGGGCTAGTGTAATTAAAAGGAGGCTTACCTTTTAAATGTTATTAAAATTATGTACTTAAAATCTATAATTATTTAATTACTGTGGAAAAGTCCAATCAAGTTAATAAATTATATTGACTGGGTTTGAAAATTCTGGAAAATCATCACCCTACTGAACTTACAAAGTAATTTGAAAATGTGAAAAACAAATCATTTAAAATGATTAATAAACTGTATAAGTTAAAGCTATAATTTTCAACTAAAAGATCGTACAAATGTAAAAATAAAAAGCACAAACTGTAAAAAAGCAAAGCATTACAGTATATGGCCAACTGATTTAGAAAGCATTACTTGTACATTCCTTAAACAGTTTATGTTAGAAGTAAAAGAGTAATTTAACTATCCCTACATTTGGTAGCATTTGTAACTACAAGAATTTTAATTAATACTATTTATATTATTTCTTTACCTTTATCTTTTCTCTATTTAAGGAGGGGAATGTTTGCAGAGAATTTTCTTTTCATATACATAAAATTTCATACCATTCTTGTAGTAACATATTAGGTAGATGTTTACACATATTGTATTTATAAAGCTAGTTTTGATTAAAGGTCTCTGTGATATAAATATTATCTTCTATAATAAGAATAATGGTACATTTTGAATTCTATTTTCTAGGGATTGTTAAGATTGAAACCAACATGAGAGAGAAAATCATGCATTATAAAAGTTTATGAGTGTTTAAGAAACAGATGTTTTTAAAGATTTAAAATATATTTCTGATAGAATTAAACTAAGTAGGGTCTATTTTAAAATTCACATTCTTAAACATAAATATATCCAAGCTATAACATGAAACAGCTCAGAGTACTCTTTCTTTAAGATACTTGAAGATTTTAAATGACATTACAACACTTATGGTGCTTTGTTTGGCATGACTTCCATAGCCATCCCTATATCGGAATACTTGGAGGAAAATACATGTTTCATTTACATTAAGTGTTGGAGTGATTTAGATTTCACTGAAAACAATACTGGCCTTTTTTTTCCTTCTGTAACATCCATTTTCATTGACATTATTTAAAAATACAGGCCTGTTGTGGGAGCTGAGGATATAGCAAAGAACAAATTAAATTGTTAATTTTTTACCTCAGAGTATTTTAAAAATCACCTTTAAACCATGTTAATCTAAAACTATATAGTAGTCTTAGACTAAAAGCAAAGGTCTAATTAAAGATTTAAAACATACAGCTTATATCCTTAGTTTAGAGTACTGTTGATTTGTAGGTATTCAACAAAAGCAGTCTCTTACACAAAAGCAGGACTGATGGGACATTAACTTCTTCAGAGCTGACAGTTTCTCAGGACTGCCTTATTTGCTCCATAGAAGTTTTAAATTTGTGGTGTAATTGTTTAGTGTTACAGAAGCTGGATGTTTTCCTTTTTCCTTTTTAGTTTACTTGGCCTTCTCAAGAAGCATATAAACAGTAGAGATGATAATTAATATTGATTTGAGCATTCTTATATGCTTTGTTGGACTTTTTAAATTTATAGTGAGTACTATTTTTATAGAGATTTAAAATTCGTAAAGCACTTTGAAAAACATTATCTCATGTAATTCTCACAACAAATCTGGGAGGTAGGTATTACTCACATTTTATAACTTTTACCAAACAAACAAACCCTGTGGCTTAAAAAAGAACAAGTGACTTGACTGAAATCACAATCAATAACTTGCCCTTTTGACTTAAATCCCAATTATATGTTTTTATTTTACCTTTGTCATTAATTTACAGATTTTGCCAGAGGTAGGGAAAGGAGTCATTTACTTACTTTTATCTGTTTTTTTTTTATAAGATAAATATAATACTTTTAATTGTGCAAGTGTGATGTGTGTATATTTTTCAAACTACTTAGAAGATAGTGGGAGAACCTTTGTTTAAGTTAACCCCAACCTTTTCACAGTGTGAGAAATACAGGAGTAAACCTATGATAAACTTACCAGAATTTTTTAATGATCATAAAGTAGAAAAAAAAAGTTGCCATATTTTTTATTTTTACTTTTACGTTATTTGCACTGAGTCTCTAGCCAGAGATGTTAGTGATCACGGGCTGAAATGGTAATTGTGTTTTGCCTTTTAATTTTATGTACATCAAAAACATTTTCTTAGTATCTTGTATTTTTTTTTCTTATCTCATTTTGTCCTAGAATTTCAAAAGACCACCCTGTGACATTAATTGTGATGAAATGTTATTTTTATTTAAGCCACATAAGAATGGCTAGGTGTGATTGCATGAAAATATATGTAGAAAAATTAACCAGAAACTCCTTTCTGGATTTGTTGTAGTTATTTGGTATTTGTCACAAGGAGTTATAATAACTTCCACTTTAACAAGTTTTTATTAATCTCCACTCTACTCAAGACATTTCCTATTTCAGTGAATGGTACCACCATCACCCTGGTTCCCAAACTGGAAACCCTGAACTACTCTTAGACACTTTCCTCTCCCTACCTGCCCCCCACCGTCAGCTCTTTACCAGGTCCTGTCATCTCTCGTATTTGTCGGCTTCTCTCCACCTCTCATCGCCTCCCTAGCCACCATCAGCACCTTTTGCCTGCTTTACTGCAGTTGCCTCCTGACTGGTCTTCCTACAGCTCCTCTGGCCCTCCTCTGATTCACTCTACTGCAGGCAAAATTCTCTTTTGAAGTGCAGTTTTAATCAAGGCAACCCCCCCCCCATCCCTATTCTTACCCACTTTAATGGCTTTTTCTTGCTCTTAAGATGAAAACAAAAATATTTAAGTTAGAGCCACTATTTAGGGTATAATTCTGAGCATTAAAAGAGTTAATGTCCAAACCATTAAAACGGTGGCTGGCACATAATTGTACATCGTGTTTCAGTTACTTTGTTACTTCGTTGCACTTCAGGTATCTGGAATGAGTGGGAATTAAAGTGCTTCTTCCACCACAGGAGCCTTTGTTTGTGTTCCTTTGTCTTGAAATACCTCTTCCCGTTGCATTGCCTAGTTTAATTCTTACTTGTCTTTCAGATCTCACTTATTCATCACTTCCTCAGGGAAGCATTCCTTAATTCCGGTCACACAGTAAGAACCACTGTTGTCTGTTATCACATGAACACATACCTCTACTTAGCGTTGAACATTTTTGTAATTTTATATGTATTTATTTGATTAATGTAGACCCTCTAGACTGTAAACCCCCATGAGGACAGGAACCGTGTTTTTGTTGTCAATGTTCAACTTTGTATTCCTTATGCCTCATACAGTGGCTGGCACATAGTAGGTGCTCAATAAATCTGTTGAAAGAATAAAATGAGTGGATGAGGTATCAAGGGTGTTTTTTAGGTATTAAGTTTTTCCTCTACGTTGGATTGAGGAGAGATGGAACACTGGTAGAAAGTAAATAGTGGTAGTTATTTAAAGGAACAGACACTTTGAGTCCTTAGGGAAAGAAAAAGGTGGGCAATGGAGAAATTTGCGATAGTGTTTTCTTCAGAATTTTTAGTCTCTGAACTTGTAGTTGATTTATCACAAACCATCACAAAACAGAAAATTAGCACATCACTTCATGAAACTGCTAGAGTGCCATAATGTCATCTGGCTTTGATTGTAACATATGGTGTTGTGGCTGTGAAGATCTGACAGTCCTATCAGCCAAACAAAATGGAAACAAGGCCAAAAGAGTACTGGCTGAAATAGTTTTCGATTTTTGACAAATTGACTAGTACACAGGATCAGTAGTGCCTAATTCCTTAAAGTACAAAAATCTCATTTTGGTACTCACTTGTTCCTAGAGATGGTGAAAAAAGTAAATTTTGAGCTAAGCTTCAGTTTATTTTTAAAAATGTGAAATACTAAAAGCTAGACTTAACACAGGATATAGAAACAAATAATGTTTTTAAAACACTCATTTCTTCATTAAATTATACTACTCAATAAGTTTTTTTTTTAATTTTTTGCCACCTTTATTTGAGAAATACAAAGGTAAAAGGAAGCAAAAATGTAAGCATGATTGTTTTTACCAAATATTAGATGTCTGATGAATTCTTGTAGAGTGGAGGAAACTCACGTTACTGTTACAGTATTGAAATGTAGCATATATGTTGCTAACACTATTGTGTAGTCTTGGCAGGTTTGAGAATTTGAAACTCAGAAAAATTTTAAGAAATATGAAATGAACTTAATGTCTTTTTTTCCTACTTGTGTAATAAAACATATGTGATAATGTTTTGTTCTTAGAAGAAAACATATCACTAAATCAAAAGAAGAGTAAACTGGGTTTTAAAAGATTTGAAACCATTTAGACAAAAAGGCAGTACTTTATTATAAATTAGATTTTATCTTCAATTTGCTTGTGTCATCTATCAAAAGTCAATTCCTTCTTTACAAGTTATACTAAACTGAATGTTAAGTACAATACTCATTCTTAACTCTTCACCGTTTATATGAAAAAATATTTGCTCAGTTAGTGAAGAAATACTTGAGCGTGATGGAGATTAGGAGAGCACAGTGAGGTGATTTAGTCTTTTTCTTGCAGCCATTTGGCAGAATTGTTTTGGCCGATATGACAA